GTTCGTGGGTTCAAGCCCTACGTTGGGCTCTATGCTGACAGCTCAGAGCCTGGAGCCTGCTTCGGATTCTGTGTCTCCCTCTCTCTCTGCTCCCCTGCTCACACTCTGTCTCTCTGTCTCAGAAACAAATAAACATTAAAACAAAAAAAAAAAGTAAAAATTCTTCCTTCTCTCTCCTGCAAAATCAACTTTACCCTGTTTATTGGATCGTTCCCGTTAGTATGTAAACAATGCTGTTCCTTCTCTGATCTTTAAAAACAAAATCCTTTCTTCATCCTACTTTTCCTTGGCTGCTCCCAGTGCTAGGCGCTCAGCTCCTATCTGATCTGATCAGCCGGCGGCATCTGACACAGTGGATTAACTCCCTCCGCCTTGGAACCCCGGCTCCTGCCTTGGGGCTTTACATGTGCCCTGTTCCTCCTAGCCTTTGCTCAGATGTCAGCCACCCTACCTAAAATCAGCAGCTCCTCCTACCACAGGCTCCAATTTCCTTTTCTCTCCGAAGCGGTTAGCACCACCTGACATATTATGTGCTTGTCTTTTTTTTTTTTTTCCCTCTTTTCTCTCCAACAGGATTTCAGTTCCATGAGACCAAGGATTTTTTTGTTCAGTCTGTTCATCAGTGTATCACCAGTACCTAGAAGAGGACACGCAAAGCGCACGGCACATAAGAGGCACTCAGTGAATATCTGTTAGAACAGTTAGTTGATGAGCTGTTGGCATTTAAGTGCTAGACCATAAACCTCTCTTGAGGCAAATTGAGAAACCAGAAGTTTGATTTTGTCATTATAAAACTGTTGTCCTCCTGCTCGTAGGTATGATGACTATGATTACGGAGAAGTTAATCAACTACTTGAACGAAGCCTGAAGGTTTACATTAAGACAGTGACCTGCTATCCTGAGAGAACTACCAAGCGCATGTATGATAGTTACTGGCGTCAGTTCAAGCACTCAGAAAAGGTGCGTTGCATGACTGCACGTTCTGTGTGCCTTAGACACGTGTCCACTATCATTAGGAAGGACTGTGAAAAATTGCACGTGAAAGTGTTAATACAAGTTCGAGCCCCATGTTAGACTCTCTGTGCTCCAGCTCAGAGCCTGGAACCTGCTTCAGATTCTGTGTCTCCCTCTCTCTCTGCCCCTCCCATGCTCGTGCTCTGTCTCTCAATAATAAATAAGCGTTAAAAAAAAAAAATTAAAAAAAAAAAAAGAATATTTCTTTGGATGAAATACATAGGAATCATTACGTAAGATCTAATAAATGTTAAGGATCTTTACCAACATTGTAGGAGAAGAACTGGCCTTAAATCCTAGATCGTTTTGACCTGTAAGTCCAAGAATCTCCCATTTACACCACAGGTTCCCAGCTTTTGAGAGTAAGAAAATCCATTTAGGATCCTAATATTCACTAATTAACTCTGTGGCCTTGACAGAAAATGTTATGGCCTCCATACCTGACGGATTTTATGAAGTCTTTGGGCCAGTCACACAACGATAAATAACCCATTTTACTGCCTGTATCTCTTCTTTTTTAATTTTTTTTTTCAACGTTTATTTATTTTTGGGACAGAGAGAGACAGAGCATGAACGGGCGAGGGGCAGAGAGAGAGGGAGACACAGAATCGGAAACAGGCTCCAGGCTCTGAGCCATCGGCCCAGAGCCTGACGCGGGGCTCGAACTCACGGACCGCGAGATCGTGACCTGGCTGAAGTCGGACGCCCAACCGACTGCGCCACCCAGGCGCCCCTGCCTGTATCTCTTCTTGACAGATCTTTATGCCCTATTTATATGTTTGCATTACTTTACTGGGTTGTATCTAGAAATTCCCTTTATTCGTCAAGAGACTATCCCTAACCCGTAGAACATTATCAAAATAAATGCAATATCAAGACACATTTCTTTGTAGTCTGTTTTGAAAAATGCATTGGTATTAATTTTAATCTATCAGCTAATGTGTGTCTCCCGCAACACTTAGGGGCTTGTATCCGAAAGACTCCAGGGAAGGTACACATATCTAACAAGGACCAGACAGTAATTGCAAACTGCCGTAAGCTTCAGGTTTTCACTTCCGTGCCTTCCCAAGTATACAGGAAGAAATGTTCTTAAAAGCTTTCCGAGGACTGAACATAGGCTCTGAGAAATGTAGAGCTGATTTTTAGCCACATACAACTGGAAGAAGAGAAAGTTGCAATTTATTGAAAAATTGAAAAATAATGTGATTTCGTAATCCAGAAGATTGATTGGCTTTATACACATCGTGTACATTCTGACATAATGCTTGGTACTTTCAAGACTTTTAGAGGTCATTTTTGCCACTCACAAGATCCCTTTGTCTTTTATAGACACAGTTTTGTTACGAGCGTTCCATCATTTACACGCGTAGATATGCCGAGGCATGTGTGTTTGTACGTGGGTCTGTGTACACAGGACAAACCCTTGTGAATGTCTGTTAGAAAAAAAAAAAAAAAAGGACATTTTTCCAGTTGTTTGTAATGGTCACTAAGTTGCTAACGTTGTCGTTTCTAGGTTCACGTAAATTTGCTCTTAATGGAAGCACGGATGCAAGCTGAACTTCTTTATGCCCTTCGTGCCATAACTCGGCATTTGACCTGAAGCATCACCCAGCGAAAACGTCGTATGTGTGTAAAGACCTTTTCACACAAGAACATACATCAGAAGCTGTTTGTGATGGGCATCAAAAGTTATTCAATTCTCTAGTGTCAAAGTTTAGCCGTTCTCTTTGGCGGCTGTAATGTGCAATGATGTGTTTTATTTTTCTTGATGCTTAACATTACTAACAATTGCAAAAATAATACTGAGGAGCACTACTTTGCATTGTTTTATAGTTGGAGTTTTGGATACTGATCATAAATCACGAACCTGGTTTATTAATGCTTAACTTCAGCGCTTTTGGGTTTGTATGTATGTGTATCCTTTTATTTCCTTCTTTCTTTTTTTTTATTATTATTATTATTATTTTTTTTTTTTTGGAATAAGGAAAAGCGCTTACAATCTGCTCAAGTGATTGTTTTTCAGATATTGGAATTCAGCAAAGAATGACCTCTTCTGGCCATTCTAAACTTTTAACGTTGTGTCCTAAATCTGGTGGAGGAGAAGCATGCGCTGTTGAACTAAGCTGCTCACAGGACACATATCTGTGTCCCCAGGAGATTATTTGTCAGGCACTGTTTGTGGTTTTTGTTTGTTTGTTTGTTTTTGTTTTTTGGGTTTTTTTTTTTTTTTTTTTTTTTTTTTTTTTTTTACTGCTATTGGCGATAACGTGAAATGTGATACAGCCATTGTCCATAATTTAATGTGAAATTAATCATGATGAATTCTATAGCATGCTACTGAAATGCCAAATTCAGCTCTTTTCTTTCTCTTCTGAAACAGAACTTTCCGTTTTCCGTATCAGATGTATATATTAAAAGCAGAATTATGCACAATCCTTTCTATCACTAACAGTCCTCCTCAGTCATGTAAGTCATCAGCGCTCACAGAGCTGCTCATCGCTCATTCAGTTGGCACACGCAAGCCTGTACCCACACAAGACTGACCAAAAAAGTTTCTTTGCACGTTTTTCTTTTCTCATAGCGTTTTCTATATCGCAGTAAGCAGAGGAAGGTTAATATACTTGTATTTTTTCCTGGTAGCTTTTAGAACTTCTTTCCCATGATTTTTCTTCTAATAGGCTGAGGAGTTGAATATTCAGAGGTGACAATTGTGTTTCTATGCATTAATGTGATTGAACAGCAACAACAACAACAAAAAAAAGTGCAATATGTCGGGAAAAAAATACTCAGCTGAACTTTCCCCCCATTATGTCATTGCAGAAGTGTCCTTGTAAACAGAGCCATAAAGAAATTTTGTTCAAATTTCTTTATTGCACAAGGCTTTTGCCTTACTGGGGTTGAACAATATTGTTTTCCTAATGCCAAAGCACCCCCTTCCCCAGAAAAAAAAAAAAAATCTCTTTGGACAACTGGTTTAAAAAAGCTATCGAGTCTTAGGGGAGGAAGAAGCATCCAAAAAGTCACATTTTTGCATCGGTTTGTGTTGCCTGATTAGACTATCCTTACAGAGCACAACATTATGTGTTTCTAGCTTTAATTTGTATTGTGTTAATGAACCAGTGAAGTGCCTAAGAGATGCTTACAACTATCCAGTAGGACACGACCACACTGCTTAAACGCTTTTTGGTTAACTAAGGGTGACTTGAATTTTCACAAATCTGCTAATTTTTTAAAAACAACTCCATTTTCTCATGGTAAATAATAGAGTCAAAATTCTCCATTAGAGTTCCCACAAAGATTTCATCGAAGACTGACTTATTTGTTGTATAGGACTTTTTCTCTCATGAAAGAATCTTGGGTTTTGTTAAGTCATTTTCCCCTTCCGTTCACTATCCTTTTCTGGTACAATACATTAGGTTGCTTTCTTTTAGAGTTTGTCCCAGATAAGAAAATAGAAGGATGACTGTAAACCTACTAACGCCAGGTGGTTCTGCATTTTTAGATTCCGGGATCTCATTTGAAATCTTCCACGTGAGGAAAAAATTACTAATATTTTTTAAGACAGGGTGGTTTATTTAAAGATATCATTCAGAGAATTCATGCCAGATCTCTTCTGTTTATTGCATATGCCATATGTTGACTTCATTCGGCATCACATCATGTAGAAATGTCTGTTAACTGCAAGGAAAGTATTTAGGAAGATGATAAAACACGGATGATAACATCAATGCATATTTGACTTCCCTAACCTTAGAACTTTCGAGTTGAGGATATCTTTTCTTCTTGATGGTTTTTTATTTTGTTTTGTTTTTTAACTACGATCCTTTCAGTTAATAACCCTGTATTATTGTGCAGGTGACCTGTATTACAGGATAAAAAAGGATCTTTATAAAATGGAAAAGAAGGAGAAATTGTCACAGGAAAACCATTATGAGCTTTAGACCAAAAGGGGAAACAAGGTGTAAGTAACGAAAATGGCCACTTAGTTTTTGTCTTTTTTTTTACCCCAGAAATGGAAGTAGTTGGAGTTTGGGTTTTGGAAATATTAGTGCCTTTACTAGATCTCTTTTCTAGCAGAGTTTCTTTTTAGCTCAGCATTGCTCTACTCATCAGTAATCAGGAACGTAAATTGACTTGGAACTATAAACAAAAACAAAACAATGTATTTATGAACCTCAGTGAACCAGCCTAGAAAAATTGACTTCCGAAGGTGCTGGGGCACCTACTGAGACGCAGCACGCACAACATGAGTACCATTTTACAGCAAGGTTGCTGTGAACTTTCTCTAATGCAGACTTGAAATTCTGATGCGGTTTTCCAGGGTGGTATTTTTTCAGAGTATTGAATTTACTATGTAGTAATTTATAGTATAGCTTTTTATATTAAAATGTGATATTTTTCAAAGAGATATCTGGTTCAATTAGTGTAACGATATGATTATACGATACGCTAACCTCCACCTTGGGGCTCACATTGTGCCAAACTTAAATGTGCAAGTGTACTTGGAAAAACAGCACATGTGACTGTGAATTCTCTAACTTCGTTGCTTATTACGTTGAAATTAGTCTAACAAGCCACTGATAATCTGCCTGGTTGATGTCTATTTACTTCCCGGCTTCCCTTGTAATTCTTAATTTCTCAGATCACCTGAGGAAATACCTAAATAAAGACTGTCCCACCTGAACGTCAATCTGATCTGTAAACCGATCCCTTGACTGTGGGGTTGGCCAGGCACCTGGCCCCCTGGATCCTTCAGCTTCCGTCTCCTCAGATGGATCCTTGATAATCAGAGGAAATGAGGCTTGCTGAGATGAGACCACTCATTACCTTCTTTAGCTTTTTGAACCAAGTATGTTGTCTCAGTCTCAGGAAGAATCTTTGTCCCATCCGGGGTACTTTTTTTTTTTTTTTTTTTTTTTTTT